ATATATATAATCTAAAATATTGAATATAGAAGATTTATCATCGGAATTTAAAATTTTATATTTCAATGACTCAAAATTTTAAATATAACAAATCAATGTTTTAAAATAAAATCAAATATTAAGTGGTTGAAAATTGAAATGTAAATTTTAAGTTTAGGGGTGAAAATATTATTTTTAAAATTTTGGGTGGTTTGTATGTAAAAAGACCCATAGAAAATAAGAAAATAGTTTTGTTGAGGGCAGGAGCCGTTGGCATTTGTCCACTCTCCTCTCGTTCATCTCTCCCTCTTCCCGCATTTTGCTTCTCTCCTTCATCTGACCTGATAATCCAAATCGAAACTCTAATTCTGATCAAAATCCATCCGAGCCGGCGCTATAAGTTGACCTGTAGGTGCCAAGTCGTAGAATCAGGGATGGAGATCTCATGAGTAACGAGGACATCTCCTTCATCTCCAGATCTCCTCCGTCTCGTTAAGTTTTTAAGGTTACTGGGATCAATCAGATCGTGGGGGATGGCAAACAAGCACGGGGAGTTTAACCAGAAGATCGATTACGTTTTCAAGGTGGTGTTGATTGGGGACTCTGCAGTGGGGAAGTCGCAGCTGCTGGCTAGGTTTTCGAGAAATGAGTTTAGCTTAGATTCAAAAGCTACAATCGGGGTGGAGTTTCAAACGAGGACGATCACCATTGATCATAAGACAATCAAGGCGCAGATTTGGGATACGGCTGGACAGGAGAGGTATGTATGGGTTTTCCATTCCTCCTTTTTCCTGTTCCGTTTCATCAGATCTTGGTTTTTGTAAGGTGATCAATTTTTTTAGTTGTATGCGTGCTGGTTTTGATTATTGTTGAACGAACATGACATACATGGAGTTTTGGGTAAATTTTATTTTTCGAGATTTGGTTATGCCTGGCTATGGACTGGTGGTTTGTGATTGCTGTGCTAGAAATTATTTATGGTCTTAATGTGGCATGAAAATTTTAGCACACATAAATGAATAGATCTCGGTTTGCAAGAGCCACGAGTTTTTTTTCTTAAGTGGAAAAAAGAGAAGGAGACAAAAAACTACATACCCCAATTCATTTGAAATAATTTCTCTATACAGTTTGAAGGTTAGAACAATCAGCTCTTTCTGTCACTGGAGAAGGCGAGATTATAAGCATGGCAACAAGTACTAATATTGTTTGATGATGGAGGACAATGGGCATCGGCTTCATTCGGTGGCGGGCAATGATAGATTGTAGCTGTCAATGGCGGTTAACAGTTGGTGTTCACAACAAAAGTCAATTTTGGGTGATGATGAGAGTTAGCATTACCAAAGACAAATTTTAGTGGGCATCAACAGCAAACGTTGACAAGCATCAATGACAATTGATGATAAATTTGAGGCGTTAGCAGGCGGAATTCTCTCATCTGGAATCCTTTTTCAACGTGTAAATGTAGTTTGCGTGTGTGTGTGTTATGGTATCTTGGTCATTACAACTAGAAATGTAGACACTCCATCTGTAAGATCTGAAAATTTTCTTACCTGCTTCCTTGTACACAATTCTTTCCTTTTTTGTTGCTTTCCTGATTCAGACTTGCGATTTATTTTTTTCTATTCGTCGTTACCGCCTTCCCGAATTGATTGAACCACCTCTCCTTCCTATAAGAACAGAGCATGGGTAGTGACCTGACGACAACCTCACCATTCCCTCCTCCTGATCTCCCTCTTCCTCTCGATCTTCCTCCTCCCGCTCTCCCGATTTTGCTCGAAAACATCGGCTTCGTGGTCGAACCCCCACGATACTGTCGCAGTTAGAGCTTATTGAGAAAGAAATGGCGGGATTGTGGTATACAGAGACCCAAAACACCCATCTTCCTCTTCCTTCTGTTTGCTCCTACCTAAACCGTCAAGGAAGGTAACCCCCGGCTTCCTCCCTCTTGCGCACTTCAGCTTCTCTAAATCCCGTGAATCCATCTTCCATCGGATTTGTTGAATCCCGATTTAAGACAAAACAGAGAAGAAATGGGATTTAAGAACTTATAAGCTTGGATAACTTACAAATTCTTTTTTGTATAATACTATAATAATAATTTAATAAATAGAAGTAATTTAATAATAATAATAATAATAATAATGATAATAAGGTTCAAATTGATTGCTTCTAATTAAGTAAATAAATAAGTTTAACTTCATAATTTCATGCTTTTAAGAATATAATAATAATAATTTATCGGATATACATACATATATTAATCTTTGTAGGTTTATTAGAATGCACCTAATTTAATGAATAAATAAGTTTAATTGCTTAATCGTTTGTCTTATTTTTCTAAATGATGTAGGATTGCTAGTTGAATCGTCGAAGTTATAGAGGGGTCGTGATTACCGTCTCAAGGTAAGTAACTGTTGTTTATTGGAGAATAAACCTACCCTTCCTAGTTATGAGCGTTAATCATTATCCTTTGTAGTAGATTTATAGTTATTGCCAATCATGTCCTTGTTATTTCAATTTTATATTTGTTATAGACTTTAATTATTGTTCATGATAATATCACTATCCGTCTTAAATTATTGGCGCAAAATTTCCTACCTGTTTATATTAATCCTGCATTTAACATATTTTTTTTCTAAACTTGTAGGAAGTCTCATATGTCATATCACAAATCAGCATGATATATTATAATTTTAACATGTTTTATCTGTGAAAATGAATTTTCATGTTTGTGTGTGATGGTATGTAGATCAGTAGAAGTCTTTTGAATTTTGGTTAGTCAGGTCGACGGACCCACAAAATGACAACTCTACAAGAAATCATTGGGTTTCCATGGGTTGGTATTTGACTTTCTTGGTTTCAGGTTGTCAGTTAAAATTGACTATATGTATAAATGAAAGTTAAATGATAAGAAATTTGATTTAAAATGATTGCATATTTCGTATGATATGCATATTTAATATTTATCGCTCTAGTTTGTCTTACAGTATTACACATGCACATAGTAATTCTTATTTATTTGTTGTTTATGCTTTAATAGAAAACTATTATTTATTGAGTTTGTCAAACTCATTCTTTGATATAATTGCATAACAAGTTATATTCAGCCAACAATATGACCATCTCCACTAGAACAAATTTTTCAGTTTTAGTGTCTCAATTTTGATATTTTTTCTTGTGTTTGTTTTAACTATTTTATTTTTCTTTGTTGGGTATGGTAGTTGTTCCATGTTATAATTTCTATTTTGATTCAGTTAGTTTTCTATTTTAGTCCAGCTGAATTATTGAATCTTTCAGTATTAATAAAATTTACATTTTCTTTTCTTTTATTTGCATGCAAGCATTTCTTTGAAAATATAAATAATGTTTTTTTTCATTTCATCAGGCCCTGCGTTGTCGGGGTGAATCTCCTTCCGGACTTGGGATGTGACAGAGTGGTATTAGAGCTTGTGTTTTGTATTTTAACCTTCCTTATCTTTGCATCTCATATCCCTTGACTTCTAAGTATTAGATAGGGGATAGGTATTCTTATAAGTCGGTATTCAATTGATTTTGATTTTGCGTATCTTTAAATTGTTTAGAATGGTTCTGAAAAGAAGAGGTGTTGCAGCCGCTCATGGAAGAGGATTTCAGAGAGCTATTATAAATTAGGTGCCTGTTTCTAGTGGTTTTAGCTCTCCTAGTCGCCATCGTGCTGATCCAACTCAAACCATCGAGACCATTGGAGCGCAAGATCTCAACATGGTGACTCTCGTGGAGGTGGTAACACAGAATGTTACTGAAGCGTTACAAGCTAACTTTGCAGCCCAAATTGCATAAGCGGTCCAAGCTATCCAGCAAGTGATGCAACTAGAACTAGAAGCCACTTAATCAACACCACCCGTGGCCGCCATGGAGGCTCAACCCCATCAATCAATGACGATGACCAATGAGAGTACTATAAATTGAGTGATTGGTCATTTTTTGAAGACACATCCTCCTAACTTCAATGGCACGATGGACCTAATCGAGTCCAATGCATTAGCTCCATGATATCAAAAAGAGGTTTCAATGAATAAAGTGTCTTGAAGACCGTAAGTTGTTCATTGCGACATTCCAATTATGTGAAGGAGTTGATGGTTGGTTGGAAAGTCACCGTCGTAACATTTTTGGATCTGATGCAGTAGTGTCATGGTTGGAAAGTCACCGTCGTAACACTTTTGGACCTGATGCAGTAGTGTCATGGGAGGATTTCAAAAGATTATTTCTGGAACAATTTTTCCTTATGTCGGACCGGGTCAAGCTCATGAATGACTTGAGGAAGCTAGAGGAAGCGACGAAGACCGTTCGGGAGTATGAGACATAATTGGCTGTTTCATCTCATCAATTAATCAACATGAAGAGCAGAAGATCTAACATTTACTGGTTGGCTTAAGAGACGACATTCAAAGGTTCATATCGGCGATCAACTTACAGAGAACTGGTTGATCGAGGTATTCATGCGTAGATGGAGATCAATGTCTGCGAGGAAAAGCATGTCGAGAAGCGAAAGAAATTAGATACACAAGTCAATGGGAGTTCCCAAAAGAAGCAGCATCAAAATCACCAAGCGCAAAAATCAAAAGCAAATCCTCAATGTGTTTATTATGGGAAATATCATTCTGGGACTTGTAATTTGGTTGTTGGCAAATGCTTCAATTGTTATAGTATTGATCATAAAACTAAGGATTGTCCCCTCAAAGTTCAAGGTTAGCCGCAAGTGACAAGCACCTAGGAAAATAATTATAAGTCTCATCACAAGAGTAAGTGACATAAGTCAAATGGAGGACAATTTCAGAAGCATCACGAAAAGGCTAAGCGAAGCAGAACTATTTTCAACCTCAACAATAACAGCAACAAATGGCGGCGTTTCAACCGGTATCAGTAGCATCAACAACCTCAACAGTTAGCACTGATGTATCAACAACCCTCATGGTATAATACCAGTCTCAGTGAGCTTCAAGCTTCAGAGTAGCCCAAACAGACAATTCCACCTCGGGCATTCGTTATGGTGCATAAAGAAGTTTGTGAAGCTCTTATCTTAATGTGGTGACATGTATCTTCCTTACTTTAAATCAGCTGACATGTGTTTTATTTGACTCCGGGATAACTTATTCATTTATATCAAATAAATTTGCATCTAGCACATTGATTTCCCCATTACAATCACATCTATTAATCATTCTGCTATCTAGCTCACATGTGATCGTTACTCAATGTGTTCATAACCACGACATTATCATCAATGACATGCATATATTTGCCACTTTCATAGTATTCCTACTAGTTGAGTTTGATGTGATCTTGGGTATGGACTGACTATACATATATCATACAATTATCGATTGTCATAAGAGACGGGTGAATTTCTGCATGCTTAGCTCTGTTCCCTTTTGCTTCAAGGTTAGTAGGGAAGTTATTTCTGTCTATTTTTGGCAATTAAGGCTTATAATTTGATATCCCATGGATGTGCTAGCTATCTGGCTCATGTGATGGATCCCGAGAAACTAATTGTTAGCTTAAATAGTATTCCAATTGTTCGGGAATTCACTGATGTATTTCCTAAAGATTCGTCTGGCTTACCACCGGATCACAATAGACCTACTTTCGAGGACCACTCCATTGTAAAGTGTCATATCAGATGGTCATTGTAGAACTCCAAGAGCTTAAAATCTATTTGCAAGAATTGCTTGATAAATGATTCATTCGGCCTAGTGTCTCGCCTTGGGGAGCACTAGTTCA